TGGTATGTATGTGATGTGAATGGTATGGCTGAACCTAGAGGTGATTGTTATGCTGGATATTATTGTACAAATGGTTCCATAACACCAACACCGAGTGGAGTTGCAGGTAAATATCAATGGATGGTTTAGAGGAGAGCTATTTTAAGACTCAACACTATGATATCTGATTTCAGATTTCTAAACTTACCGGTAGTAGTACAAGTGTTTTGAAACAGTGTACCATATCCTTGGGGCGGAGCTATGTCACAGATGTTCCACGTTGCTAGGCGGTGAAAATGCCCGGATGTCCGCCCGAGGATAGCACACTTTAAATACATGTACAAATTCAGTAAAAGAATGAAATTTGTATCTTAAGACAACAACACAAAAAGTAACAATTTCTGAAAAGAGTGAGCATATTGTGCTAAATATAGAACCTACCATTGAATTGCCATCATTAAAATGTTAAGTGTTCATCCCAAAACATTTACATACATTCTCAGTTCTCAATTCCACTTTCTCAGTTCATCGTTATTGTAATTTTCTGGGTCAATATCCAAATAAGGATACGATTATGCAATAAAGATTATTATTATTATTACATATGATTGGATTGAAGTGTGCTTTTCATAAAAGCAGTATGGCTCTTTTATTTGTTATGGTGAGATATTGAATTTTTGAACTTTGACCTTCAGGTAATCAGTGTAGTCCTGGGTTTTACTGCGTTGAGGGCAGTAGTCGTGAGGAACCCTGTCCACCAGGTACATACCTACCAAGCTATAGATCTAAGAATATCACATACTGTCTGGATTGTTTATCTGGTAAATATTGTAATGAAAGCGGATTGTCACAACCACAAGGATTATGCACTCAAGGTATGAATAACTAATGAATCATTTACATAATAGACCATTATCCGTTCACTGCGAGAATCACACATTATGCGTGAAATCGAACGTAAAAACAGGACAAACAAAGGTCATAGCGTCGTAGTGGCGTCAAACATCGCGTGGGATTTGACAAACGCGAAAATATTTGGGGGGGAATTTCCATGTATAATAATGTGCTGTACACATTTGATGATAGACAATTTCGATTAAGTGAGGGTATTCAAAAGCAATATTTCTCTGTCGAAGATTGGCCGGTCGATGTGAGCTACGAAATAAAGAAATTTGATTTCAAAATCAAATCGTTTGATTTTTGCGGCAGATGTTCGATGCACGTCTTTCATGCATCTCGCGAGATCTCACAGTTGAACGGAAAATCACCTATTGTACAAAGAACCAATCAAGTGTACATGTATATTATGCAATAATAGGCAATAAGACTAGGAATGTGCAGGTGTTTATTGTTTAGACCACAGTCACTTCACAGTTAGACTCAGTCAGTTACCATGGCAACATATGTAAGAAATAATAGACGAAAAATTGTGTTATGATACCATATGAATATGACTCGTTTCCATTGTCTTTAGTTCAGTAACATGATGTTACTTATCTTATATAAACTTTCTATTAGGAAGAAATTAAACGTTTCTCACTGTGTGAAGATTTCTGTACACTTTGTGTAACCCAATTTTTTGTATCCTTCTAGGTTTTTACTGTCCACCAGGCCAGACTGTGGCCACACCCAATGACTACATATGTCCAGTCGGTCACTACTGTGTGGAGGGCTCATCGGACAAACAACCTTGTAACAGTGGTACTTACCAAGATGAAATAGAACAATGGGAATGTAAACAATGCCCAGCTGGTTTTTATTGTGATAATTCCATTCTACCAGTTGTCAACTACACTGCGTTTGTGTGCCCACCAGGTAGGATGTGATTACTAATAAATGAGATGAACATGTGATGCTCATTTATGAGAAAGGGAAAAAAATATTATCACTGGAGGGAAGAATTATATATGAATTATATATATCTTACTTTTGTTGCTATAAACTGATGGAAACACTGTATTTCTAAGGATGCAATAAATTATCTTTATTATTTATTATTTATTATGAATGTGATATGGTAGATCCATATGTTAAAACATTACATTGTGTTATGCTCATTATGGAACTTGTAGCAATTTATATAATGCATGTGAAATACATTGTTTCTTTACACAAGATTTAAGCGACTGTAGCACATTTACAGAATATAAGCCTGGATACCTTAATAATATGTGTTTTATAGTTTTTTTGTTGTTTTTTTCTACTAGTGTATCTTCTTTTTCTTTTTTTCTAAATGTTTCTAACATGGAATAACAACCATGCTTTATTGTACTTAGATCTATGTCCATTTTTAGGATACGACTTCAATAAAGACTATTATTATTACTGTCAATAATATCTGGAGATGATTCCCTAATATGAATTTAATCTTCTCTGTGTAAATGTATTTCCTTCTAAGTAGTCTAGTCCAGTCTGCATCTAATTAAAATTGGAAATACATTTAATATGTCAAGTCTAGCGGTCTAGTTTGATCCACAGTAATTTATTACTAATTTGCATCTAATCTAATCTAAAAATTGAAATAATTATTAAAATACGCTTTTCTTTCAATTTACAGTCACATTCGATAATTGTTTGCTCACATAAAAGAATACATAATTAACTACTTACAGTATGATATACTAGTATACTGCACTATCAAAGTGTCTAGAATTTCATTCTATTTGTGTTTCATTTCAGGTTACTATTGTCCTAATGGCACACAGTTCTCTAATGGGTTTGAATGTCCTATTGGTACATTCAACAACATAACAGGACTGACTGCCATAGATGAATGCTCTCCATGTCTCGGTGAGTTGGATGTCAGTTATTAAATAAAAATAATCAGTTTTAATTTAGCAAGGAATAATTTTTGGTGTTTTCAGAAAATCGTGAAATTTAACGTAGTATACTCCAAAACATCTAAATTTTAGAAAGTGGCTGTAATGTAACTGTATAGAGTGTACTAGTACAATAGCATCCTTATTGAGATAGTCTCATATCATATTAGGTCAGTTTGATTTCCATACTTTTAGATACACATAAATAGGGTTGTTCACTAGACAGAACAGCCATTATTATACAAAACATCTAAAACTGAATTTAGTTTTCTGTTATAAGCTGTATTTGTATTCTTTTAAAACATATTAATTTGAACAATTGAATATACGCAATTATTTGGTGTAATCTACATTAAAACAACTCACACAGCATCAAACCTATTGTTTTGTCAATTTGGGGTTTTATCTCTAAGTTATGAATAAAAGTAGGAAAAAGAATACCGCAAAGTATACCCTGAGGCAGTATGGGATGGCATCTACCTCTGTCATATGTCAGTCAATATGAGCTGCCTGCATATATACTTTAAAGTATTCTTGTGATAACCACATAGTATGCAGGGGTTGTCCACTAGACAGAACAGCCTGTATTAACTAATATCTACTACAGGTGGCTATTACTGTGGTCAGCCTGGGCTTGTCTACCCTATCACTTTGTGTAGCCCGGGATATTACTGTCGCCGTGGTGCCAAGAATGCAGCTCCAGATCAGATGGATGATGCAAACATGTGTCCAGTTGGACATTATTGTGTGGAAGGAACCTCAGAACCAGTCGCTTGTCCGATCGGGACATTTAGTAATCTGACTGGCTTACAGAATGTGACTGAATGTGAAGCATGTACACCAGGTGAGAAACAGTGAAAAAAACTTTATGACATATTTTCATTGAAATTACATTACAGCTAAAAATTAATTATTATTCTATTTTATTATGGTGTAATAAATAAATATTGTATTGTCAAATTATGGAATCATGCAAAAAAATAAAACTGATGTTGCTCAGTAAATTTGAACATGTGCAGACAATAAAAAACTTTTCAACTTTTTTTTTATGATGCTATGGCTTTTCAGTTATTTGTTATGAATCCCAAGGAAATTTACAAAGTTCTTAGACACATCTGTCAGTATTCTATTTTTGTTTACTTACTTGTTTTGTTTGTTTGAATTAAACCTTTTTTCTGAGTGACATTACATAACTCTGAGTAAATAATGATATACTGTAAAATGACTAATTGGGTTTAAATGTTGTTGATTTTCCATTTCAGGCATATGCAGTGGGTTTTAAATTCACTGTTTTATATTTAGATAATGTGTTCTATGCTAAATTTTACATATTCACTGGGTTTTAATTTAGCGCATTTTCCAGTCAGCGAAATAAACAAAATTAAAATCCAGTGAATAATTAACCCCTTTACAGTAGAATGAACCACATACCATTCAGGAAGATGGAAATATCATATTTATTTGATTTTTATATTTATTTATATTTTTTATTAGACGCATACAATCCTTAGGAAAGGATAAAAAGGTTGTTACAGAAAGAAATTAAAAAAAAACTACAATCTAAAAAAGAAAACAAAAAAGAAAAACTTTTCTAAAAAAAATAAAACAAATCACAAACATTAAAGACAATTTGCAGCCAATGGTGAATACAGAATATAGAATGAACACAAAATGTAGCCTAATACACTGATAGTTGTTGCTGTTTTGTTCCATAGCTGTTTTTTAGGAAGACAGCTAAGGCTGGTGCTAGAGTATGGTTTGCCATAATCAAAATGAATTTATTCTGACTATTTTCTTTATCAAAATTCGGAACTTTATTTTGTGCAGTCAGGAATAATTTGTCCCTATGGTGACTGTAAGCTGGACATTTCATTACAAAATGTTGCTCATCCTCAACTATATTTTGGCTGCACATATCACATGTTCTTTTATCCAGCGGCACATTATTATGTCTGCCTTTCTCAATGAGTATTTGGTAATGTTTATCTCTGTAGGTTTCTACTGTGATGCAATAGGTTTAATTGAACCTACTGGTCCATGCTCAGCTGGATTCTATTGTCCATCAGCATCTATCACTAGTGTGGAAATAATCTGTCCGGTCGGTAAATATTGTCCGGTACAAACAGCTGTACCATATAGTTGTCCATCTGGTACATTTTCCAACAACACAAGACTTGAGTCTTCTGGTGACTGTACACCATGTACTGAAGGCTGGTATTGTCTGAATTCTGGTCTGACTGAACCAGATGGCTTATGTTCACCAGGATATTACTGCCCTACAGGTGAGTGTACCTTCAATTTCTAATTTGGATACAAATTTAGTTTTAACCATTATGACCAATTTAGTGACAAATATTTTAAATATTAAGTTCTCTATAATTTTCAGTTTTTAATACAAAAGTGAGTAGCTTTTTCACAGAATTTTGAGATGCAGACAGTTTTTTCAGTACATACTGTGAAATTCTTTTAGCTGGAATTAATTTTCGCTGAATAGACCTTTTGGGTGTTTTGTATGAAATTTATTTTCACTGATTTTTGATGAGTTGAATGTAAAAATATGGGAATTATGGTATATTCACTGGATTTTATTTTCACTGAATCATTTCTTCAGCGAAAATTAATTCTAAGCAAAAACAAAGTATTCTACAGTAATTCATCTTTTTTAGTCATTTATCATGAATTTCACCCTTCGCTTTACATATATAAGTAATGACACTTGAAATTAAAATTTAATTTATTTATATTTATTCGTAGGGTCTGATAATCCCACCCCAGTAGAGTGTCCTATTGGTTTACATTGTCCATTAGGATCACCAGCTCCATTTGCATGTATCAGTGGATATTTTACTAATAGGACAAGACGATCCGTCTGTGAGATATGTACACAAGGGTGAGTTATATTATCATTTATCTACAGCAGCGATCATGCTCTGGTCACATGATTTACACAATGCTCGGTCACATGATCTACATAATGCTGTGGTCACTCTTGTTACATGATTTACACTGTTATACACATTTATTTGTATCTCTGTTTTGATAAGCATTTTACTGTATGCTTTTTTTTCTCTCAGATATTACTGTCTGCCTGAAAATGAAACTATTGGACACCCAGACTTGCAATCTGGTTACACTGACTGTCCAGCTGGCTATTATTGTCCTCAAGGTACCGGATTAGATTGGCAACCTTGTCCTGCTGGAACTTACAGTAACCAGACAAACTTGTTCAAGGTCAGTATTGAATGACATTGGTAGACATAATTTAAAAAGCGGTTTTCATGTTCAGATATTTGACATTATTGTGGTAAAGCATTCTTGACAAAAAAAAAATAATGTTGCAATTTTTACACTGTAGATATTTTTAAAGATACATGTCATTGTCTGCAGTTAAAAGTGGAAGTGAAATCTTCATAAAAGTAGTTTGGATGTTGTAATCTTTCTATTTTTCCTTTGTATTGTTGAAAAGCTTATTTCATGAAGACCTTGCCCTAAGCATAGTGGACATAGAAAGTATTCAGGACATAGTAAGTGTTCTAGGCAAAGTAAAGTGTTTTAAGTTTAAGTGTTCATGGTATAGTAAGTGTTCAAGGCATAATAAGTGTGCTGGGTACATTAAGTGTTCTAGACCAAGTAAGTGTTCTAGACCAAATAAGTGTACTAAGCATAGTAAGTGTTTTAAGCAAAAAAGGTGTTCTAGACATAATGATAGATAAGTGTTTAAGGTATAGTAAGTGTTCAAGGCATAATAAGTGTGCTAGGCACATTAAGTGTTCTAGACCAAGTAAGTGTTCTAGGCATAGTAAGTGTACTAAGCATAGTAAGTGTTTTAAGCAAAAAATGTGTTCTAGACATAATGATAGATAAGTGTTTAAAGTATAGTAAGTGTTCAAGGCATAATAAGTGTGCTAGGCACATTAAGTGTTCTAGACCAAGTAAGTGTTCTAGGCATAGTAAGTGTACTAAGCATAGTAAGTGTTTTAAGCAAAAAATGTGTTCTAGACATAATGATAGATAAGTGTTTAAGGTATAGTAAGTGTTCAAGGCATAATAAGTGTGCTAGGCACATTAAGTGTTCTAGACCAAGTAAGTGTTCTAGGAATAGTAAGTGTGCTAAGCATAGTAAGTGTTTTAAGCAAAAAAGGTGTTCTAGATATAATGATAGATAAGTGTTTAAGGTATAGTAAGTGTTCAAGGCATAATAAGTGTGCTGGGTACATAAAGTGTTCTAGGCATAGTAAGTGTTCTAGGCAATGTAAGTGTTCTAAGCATTGTGAGTGTACTAGGCAAAGTAAGTGTTCTAAGCATTGTGAGTGTACTAGGCAAAGTAAGTGTTCTAGGCAATGTAAGTGTTCAAGGCATAGTAAGTGTTCGAGGCATAGCAAGTGTTCTAAGCAAAGTAGGTGTTCTAAGCACAGTAAGTGTTCTAGCCATAGTAAGTGTTTTTCGTAAAGTAGGTGTTCTAGGTATAGTAACTGTTCTAAGTCTAGTAAATTTAAAAATGTTTTATCCAGTTTTGAACTTCAGTTTTAGGCTTGTTACATACACTTCCAAAAGTGGTTGAGATGACAAGGATTGTGCTGTACATTACCCGATAATTCATTTGGTTATTTCTCAGATCACACAATGTACTGACTGTGATGGTGGATTCTATTGTTCACAACAAGCTGCTATTGATGTGACAGCTTTGTGTTCACCTGGTTACTGGTGTGATTCCGGAGTGGATAGACCAAATCCTAATAATGATGATACCAACTCTACCTACAATGCTTCCTGTCCATTACTAGGAGGACATACAGGTATGTACACATATCTATGGTAATCAAAATCACATCATATAAGAAATCTCTAGACAAGAAAATGTTTATGACACTATGGAATAGAATTTATTATATGGTATATTCTCATCACATTAAATACCGTCTTATTTCTAGTCTGGTTTCATTTTAAAATAGTAACTTATGACATTGATTAATGGCTGAAAACCATTTGCATGACCTTTGAAAGGTCATACATCCTGGTACTTTAATGATACTATCATACTGCAACCATAGTAACTGCAAAGTACAATGAATGAAATACAGTCATTACATAAAAGCAGATGATACAAATAAACATACTGGGCTGAAAGGTAACAACCACAAGCTATGATGTAATTCTGATGTAAAAACTATTAGAACTAATCTCAATCTGATTAAAATAAGATCCTGGTTGGCTTAATTTTTTTTTATTTTTTTTTTTTTATATAATTACTGTAATTATTATTTATTTTAATTATTTACTATAATTAGGCTTTCATGCACCAGGTGGCTTTCACGAACAAAACCATTCTTGCAGCAAAATAATTGTAACGTTAAAAAATAATTAAAATAAATAATAATAATAATTATAGTAAATAATTAAAATAAATAATAATTATAGTAATTATATTAAAAAAAAAATTAAGCCAACCAGGATCTTATTTTAATCAGATTGAACTAATCTATGGTACAGGTGCTTTCATTGTCAAAGTTGCACCTAAAACAGCGAGTCAATACAATACCAAACAAGGCAAAGGAAATTAAATGAATACATGATTTAGTCTAATCTAATTTAGTCAGAAAGGTGAAATGCTGAGTGTAGAGAGAACCATATAGAATCCATGATAGTGCACGACTGGACATCCCTTCTGTTTAACCCTTTGGATGTGAGAGTAGCCAGTGTCTCTATCCCTAAACTTCGTTCAATTCACAGATTTCACAACTTTAAACACCTCCGGAGTATCTTTATGATCCATCCATAGTAATATGTAAGAGCACAGTTTTAGATTGCTATTCGCCACACACCAATAGTTAAACATAGCCAAACTTTTTTTTAAATTATTGCTGATATAGGACAAAGATACATTCCAAAAAGTACCAGGATGTGTGATCATTTAGGGGTCATACATAAGACATACTGAGCATCTGAAACAAAATATAACTTTCAGGATTCAATGGCTTAATTAAAGTAAAGTAAAACACCCAATTTCAAAACCAAAAGTGATACAAAATACCTTTTGATCTTTTTAAAATGAGTTCATATATTGCATCCAAGGCCATCTTTTGGAACAACTTTAAGTCTTGTCAATGAGTACAGTGTCAATGGTGGTTATGTTTTATTGCAGGCATTGGAGGTGTGTGTCCAAGAGGCTACCACTGTCCATTGGGTACAACACTACCACTGGGTTGTAGTGCAGGAACCTATCAAGACCAGGAAGGGACAAGTTCTTGTAAAGTATGCCCAAGTGGTAAGAATACATAGTTTTTAACTCTGCTGTCATCATAGATGACAGAGTAGAGTTGTTCAATTTCTTTTTGAAAACTTCAAGCTTAGTTGCTTTGATACTTGGTATGTAGGTACCTTGGGTAGACCTTTGTCAGATTTGTTCATTTAATGATGATATCTTCAATTCTCTATTTTTGGCAAAATTTTTTGTAATTTTTGGCAAAAAATGATATTTTTGAATTTTTTTTCAGAAATACAAACCAGATTGCTTTGATATTTGAGGTGTACATTATATCTGTAAACAGAGCATGAAGGGAAAGGCAAAGGGATTAAGTTTCATATGGTCTTTGGAAGTTCATGACCATTGACAACAATGTTTATATTTGCAGGTTATTTCTGTGAAGCTAATGCTACCACCTATACTGACACACCATGCCCTGTGGGTAACTATTGCCCTGCTGGCACGGGATATTCCAACCAATTTCCATGTTCTGCTGGTACATTTAATCATCTAGAAAAACAAATAATGAAAGTTCATGTGTGTTATGTACTGGTGGCATGTACTGTCAAGGAATGGGTAATGAACGACCCACAGCAAACTGCAGGTATGTATCCTAATAGATCACAAAATGCACCTACATGGAAGAGTATAGGATAAAATGTTTTAGTATAGTTTGATTCTTTTCCATTTTGGCTTAATAAACAAACATTTTTTTTGTAAAGTTAAAGCGGGAGGGTTGTCACCTGCGCATGCGCGGTAATTGAGCTCCAAACGACGATAACAACACACGCTAAAAATGCAAAGGCTCATGTAATGGGTAGACGCTTGTTTGTAAATATTGACACGCTATGGCCAACTGACGCATGTGCAGGTGACTGCTCCCCTGCTTTAAGTATATACAAAACTATGTTAAGATAGGATATAATCATTTGTCTACATACTGTGTAAACATTATGGCATTTAAGTTCACACATTCCATGAGATATTTTGCATGTTCGTGTAGTCTTAGTGGACTTTACTTGTCAAAAATAGCAAAATTAAAACCCTATGTTTACAGTGAACTTAAAACTACTTTCCTAGCAATAATAGTTCAATGTTGTTAATACAACATTTTGTTTAAACTTAAAGCTTCATTTTTACTTTAAAAAATTAAAAAAAAACACTCAATTTAACGTTTGTTGGTGCCTGCTGTTTTTTCTATGTATTTTACATTATATGCAGTATATGCAACACAACATTGATCTTGCATGACTTCACAAAATATTCTTTCAGTGAGGGCTGGTATTGTATTGAAGGGTCAGCAAGTCCAATGCCATCAGATCCAAACATTGGTGGTCAATGCCAACCTGGTGATTACTGTCCGGGTGGATCAGAGTTACCAACACCATGTGATCCGGGCTGGTATTGTCCAACATCCGGATTGGCAGCACCAGTAGCTGAATGTAACCAAGGTATGTTACCAAGTAGTCAGTAATTGAATGTAACTAAGATATGTTACAATGTAGTCAGTAATTGAATGTAACCAAAGTATGTTACAATGTAGTCAGTAATTGAATGTAACCAAAGTATGTTACAATGTAGTAAGTAATTGAATGTAACTAAGGTTTGTTACAATGTAGTCAGTAACTGAATGTAACCAAAATATGTTACAATGTAGTCAGTAACTGAATGTAACCAAAATATGTTACAATGTAGTCAGTAACTGAATGTAACCAAAGTATGTTACAATGTAGTCAGTAACTGAATGTAACAAAAGTAAGTTACAATTCATTCAATAGTTGAATATAACAAAGATATTCCATATGAATGAATGTAACCTAATTAATCTATACTTCGTTTACAAAACCTAACGCCCGACCAGCAGGACGCTTGCCGGTTGCTGCCTAATTATAATAACAATGGGACAATAGACAGCACTGCAATCAGCAGCACTGATTCTGAGTGTCGGTCGGGGCCAACCACTGCCAACCAGCATGGCGAGATCCCTGACAAATGGTTATCTTTATTGAGTACATCAAACATTATCTGCTTTGTTTATAGGATATTATTGTACACTTGGTGCATCTGTACACAGTCCTACAGACAATGTCACTGGTAACATCTGTCCTAAGGGTTATTACTGTCCGCAAGGTAGTTCCATTCCATCACCTTGTCCTATGGGTTATTATTTAGACACTACTGGTAACAGTCAACCTTCCAATTGTAAGATATGTACTGAAGGTAAGTCTGAAATATATTCATCAAAACATTGTATCATTAGTAGGGTGTGGTGTATTACAACATAAAGTAGTATAAACCAGTAAATATTCTAATATACCATTAAATGTAGTATATTGCCAATAAAGTGTTTTTTCAACATAATGGTATATCGTCAATAAAGTGTGGTAAACTTCAGTATATCACCAGTAGAGCATGGTATATTTTCCAAGGAAGTATGATATATTACCAATAAAATAAGTGTATTTTCTAAAATATATGGTATATAACCAATAAAGTATGGTATACTGTCTATAAAATGTATGCCAATAGTATATGTGAATATATCAATAAAGCATTGTACATTTTCAACAAAGAGCTCAATAAACCACCGAAGTGTATTTGAAAAATCTGAGTGATGATATAAATCATATAATTTTACTTCCCACAGGTAAATACTGTCCTGTCGAAGGCTTGCCAGAGCCGGTTGGAGACTGCCAACAAGGGTATTACTGCCCACCAGGTCAAGATACAGCCACACCTGGAAATTATACATGTCCAGAAGGTCATTTTTGTGTCACCGGAAGAGGTACACCAGAACCATGCCCATCTGGAAGCTATCAAAACATTCCTGGAGAGTGGACTTGTTTAGAATGTCCACCAGGTTATTACTGTAATTCTACATTTGGTCCAGTTGTCTGGTACGGAGCTTACATCTGTCCAATGGGATACTACTGTCCGAATGGTACCAGATATGCAGAACAGTGGCCCTGTCCGGTGGGTACGTTCAATAACTTGACTGGCATTGCTGCTGAATCTGACTGTACTCCGTGTATTGGTGAAATGGCTTGTGATGAACAAGGTTTGGCATCCCCGCCTAGACCCTGTTCTGCTGGATATTACTGTAAAATTGGTGCCTATATGACCACACCTAACCAAGGTATGCTACATTTGAATTGTCCTAAATATTTCTTTATATCGCCTTGTACTGGTAACAATAAAACATTGTTTATTATTATTGCTCTCTACAGTATGTGCTCATACCAGTGAAAGTAATCCCTAGTACATGTGGTATATGTTTTATTGCAGGTCTTGATGCTAATATATGTCCAGCAGGCTACTATTGTCCAGAAGGTACTGACCAGCCGATAGCATGTCCTGAGGGATTCTTTAGTCCAAATGATGGATTGATGGGATTGGATGAGTGCTTGAACTGTTCTGCTGGGTATTTCTGTAATCAGACCGGTAAAAATACTTTAATACTATTCATTCATTTATGAAATATAACAATTATAATTATAAAAGCAAGCTTCAGTCATTTTTATCAGGATTTTATTTCATTTCATAGTATACACCTAAAGTGACATATAAGATTGTCTCTAATTGGTGGCCCAGCCTTGAGACCCGATCCGTTAGCCAATCAGGGAACATTTTTCATTTTTTCTAGGGTTTGACAACATGGCATTCTATTATTTGATGTATATACTTGTACATTCAACATAAATAAAAATTTTGTGTACATCTCAGTTCAATGTTTGCGATAAAGAGTCGCGATAAAGTGCGGTTCTATTTCACCACGAATTCACTTAGATCACGGCAATGTAACATAATGTACTAAAATGTTATTTTACAAGTTTGATTGCTGTCAAAATGTCATCATCTGATTGGCTAATACAATTCTTTTCTCGTGCTGATTGGCCAGTGCTAAGTCATTTAGATCACACCCCTCGGTGACTATGAGAGTTAGAACTCGGTTCTATGGCCCTTGTTTAAATTCTCATAGTCACCTGGCACTGTGATCTAACTTATACATAGAAATATTGTAATACTTGGATGTTTATTTGTTGTCATCAGCTCTGACAGCTGTCAGTGGGCCTTGTATACCAGGGTATTACTGCATTGAAGGTTCCACAAGACCAGATAATGCCATCTGTCCTGAAGGATACTACTGCGGCTGGGCAACCTTTGACCCTGCGCCATGTCCAAATGGAACATACTCTAATGATACCGGATTGCAGACAGTGGACCAGTGTATTTCATGTAATCCTGGTTATTATTGTGAAGGACCAGGTAATAGTGTTCCAAGATGAATGTGATCCAGGTAAGTACATATATCAAGCTGCTCAAACTAAATCCTTTGTCAACCAAAAACTAATCTAAACCAAGCTCTGTATTATAACACACTGTCTAAACTGACAGACACCTTTTCTAGTCTCATATAAACTGAACATCTATATAAACTGAACACTTCTTCAGACAGATTTCTAAACTGAACAATTTCCTCAGTACCAAATTGATGTTTGGTTTGAACAGGTTTCACTCTAAGAAACTGAATATCTCTACAAACGTACTGAATACCTTTATACACTGAACACCTGTATATACTGAACATCTATATATACTGAATACCTTTATACACTAAACATCTGTATATACTGAACATCTATATATACTGAACATCTATATATACTGAACATCTATATATACATATATATACTGAATACCTTTATACACTAAACATCTGTATACACTGAACATCTGTATATACTGAACATCTATATATACTGAACATCTATATATACATATACAATGTAGATACTGAATACCTTTATACACTGAACACTTGTATATACTAAACATCTATATATATATATATATACTGAATACCTTTATACACTAAACATCTGTATATACTGAACATCTATATATACTGAACACCTATATATATATATATATATATATATATATATATATATATAATATATACTGAACACCTATATATACTGAACACCTGTAAACTAAACATTTCTTTAAGTTTTCTCACTTCATTTAGTGTTTGATTTAGACAATGATATTTTCAATGAATGGTTAAAAAATAAATAAATTCAGTCATTGCTGACTTTAAATTAATCTTAGCTCATCAAATCATCAAAATATGATAAAATATTGTTTTAGACATTATTTGAGGTGAATCACATCTACTCTTTTTAATATGTATATATGTGTTTATATTTTCAAGGTTACTATTGCCCTGGTGGTGCAAACATAGCAACATATATCATCTGCCCAGCTGGCAAATACTGCCCTCAAGGCAGTGCACACCCATTGGATTGTTTACCGGGCAGTTATGTAGATTATGAAGGTGCCTGGCAGTGTACACCATGTCCAGAAGGTCAGTACTAAGTTTATAAGAGAATTAGACGTGTGAATTTGGCATTGTTGTCAGCATCAGTAGATCACCTGACACATGTCTGTCGATATGATTGTCATACTGCCTCCATGCCTTTCCAGTAGTTTGAACTATTAAAAATCTTTCATTCTGAATCTTAAAACTCATTTCAATGATTTCTCACATGTTGTATATTTCAATGTCCGTCAGGTTACTACTGTGTACCAGAATTGGTAGTAGAGGGAGATGCCAGCACAAGTTATACACCATGCCCAGCTGGTTTCTTCTGTCCTAATGGAACCGGATTAGACTGGCAATCCTGTCCATCTGGTAGCTATGGACCAGTAACACGTCTAACAGAAGCTGAAGAATGCACTCCATGTGATGGTGGAAAGTATTGCCAAGGAGTGAATCTAACGGAGCCATCTGGTGACTGCTTACCCGGATATTATTGTGTATCTGGTGCTGATAAAGCCAATCCAACTATGGTGAATGAAGACCAGTGTCCAACTGATACCATCCATCCAATTATTGGACATATATGTCCAGTTGGTCACTACTGTCCTGGTGCTACAACATATCCATATGGGTGTCCACCTGGTGACTACAATGATCTACCTGGACAGGACTCCTGTAAAGACTGTCCTGAAGGCTATTATTGTTATTCTAACACTACAGACTACACACCTAATGAGTGTCCATCAGGATTCTACTGTCCTCTTAATACACCAGACCCATTTGCATACCCTTGTCCACCAGGGACGTATAACAGCTACACAGCGCAGCAATCCGTTGATTCTTGCGAACCATGTACACCAGGATTTTATTGTGAAGGTTATAATAATACATTCCCAACAGCACCATGTGATGAAGGCTATTACTGTACTGGTAGTGCATCTGATAACCCAGTAAGTAGACATTCCTTCCATTTTAAAGATGAAATGTATACAATGATTCGCTCAATGAATAACCAAAATATCAACAAGGGTAGTCTCACTATAAATACCTTCTTTTGGTACTACTCCACTATAATCCAGATTCAGGCCCATGGGCTAAAAATATTTTCTGACTGTTTTACAGATGAATTGTGGATTTCAAATGCTCTAGGCTGTTGATGTGTGCAAACCAATGCTCCCTCTAATCCTTTTTACTTGTATTATGAAATTGTTATGAGATTTTATGAATTTTGTATTCAATTACATCTGATTTATTCAAAATGTTTTTTTATTACTTGCCAAATTTGCTTTGGGTGAATACTGTTGCTAACACATATAATGATTATTAGACATTATGAATATCAATTATTTTGTCTTTAGCATGA